AAATTGAAAGATACATTGAAGGGAAACTTTGCCCTCTATTTATACATAAAATGGACTTGAAATTAACATTTTGAAGTCCGCATAGTGCATGGGAACGTGTGCTTAAATAATGCAGTCGGTCGGCCCACCACTAAGTTCTGTCTCCTTATCTGATGGAAAGTAGACATCTGATGAAGGAAATACTGTAGAATCAAAGACTTCTGAGAAAAGTCCTTTGTCTTCTTCTGTCGGCAGGATAAGAGGAATCTTTACTTTTTGGATGGATTCATCTTTTCCTTCAAGTGGCTGGTGAGAGAGTCCCAATAATCAGCGACTGTGGGTTCATCTTCAGAAATAAGATCTTCATTGGGATCTTGTGCATAACCAGCTAGACAGGAAAACTGATTACCATCTTGACTGATCTGGCTAGAGACTGATATCATGGAGGCATCATCTCTTACTGTCGATGTGGAGGAATCAAAAGTTGTAACAAATTTATTCCTCATAAAATCCATGCATTTAACCATTAAATCTGCTTCGGTAATTAATGGTTGTTGCTTTCTGATCATATCTTTAACAAGCATTAAGATAATAGCATTATTTACTTTTTATTGCTTTTATTTTATTAAAAAACAAAAAAAAATTTCATTGCTTATGGTAGCTCGGTACCAATTATTTTTAGGTCTGTTCGCTATACTATAATTTTTTTCCTAGTTTTCAAATTAATGGTTTTTATGAAAAAAAAAAATTATTTCCCATATAAAATTATCTCAAACAAGATGTTCTCAATACTGTTTTTAATTTCTCTAATTTGTTATAAAAAAATAATTTTATGTTATTGCACTTTGCACTCGTTTAAGAGAATGTAATGACAAAGACAAAATTCATTAAATATCAAAATTTAATAATAATTTATCCCTTTTAAACCTAGTATATTAAAATTTAATCACCTTTTATTGATTTCTTTCTACACCGAAACTTTATTCCAAATAGACTTAAAACACATTCTTAGTTCAAAATTAATTTTTAAATTTAAAATTATAAAACAATTGTTGTGACCGAACAAGTTTTATAAAACTCGATGCATTAGTGAGTGTCCCGAAACTGATCCGAAAAAAGATCCCAAACGCGAAAGCGAAAAAATAAAATAAATAAATGGTCTCTAAAAATGCATACCACCTTTAAGACTCCAAAGTAATTTCCCGAGAAGTCACGGAACTCAAAAAAATACAACACGGAAGCTAAGGTTTTAAAACAAACAAGTTATGCATATAATCTAATTTACTATTTACATTTAATTGAATTTCATCATTAGTTTAATAAACCAATTAACATCTTTTTAATCTCACGCTCATTGATACTAAGTTCATTTCAAGCCCATAATCCCAGTAAATGATCTCTACTCACTATACTCACGTATAGTTGTGTAGTGGCTTTTATAAATTTAAAAGTTGATATTCTTAATTGCCATATTAATACACTTATATTTTGTTGATCATGAGGCCGTACATCAACCACTGCCATTGCCACCATTTATTTTTTAAAAATTATAGAAGAATGTCATTTTGTTTATTTAATATATTTGTTACTAATACGATATTTTGGAGTACTCAATTTGAAATTTATTCCAATCTAAATTTTAAATTGGTTCAACTAAACACTAGAGTGTTTATTATCATTTCATTTCAACACATTTCATATTTACAACCAAACAACAGAATGAGAATGGTCATTCCATTCCATACCCATTCTCATTCCATTCCCACTTGCATTTCATTTCATTTCTATACACCAAATGAAGTAAAATATTATGTTTAGTAGTACTTTGGATTTGGAATTCGAGGAATTTTTTTTTTTTTTTTTTTTAAATTTGGAAATACAATTGGAAAAGGAATTGGATTGTAATTAAAATAAGATTTTATTTTAAGTTTGGAATAAATTGGAATTTGTAAAAAGAAATTTGAGAATAAAAAAAAAAATTGTACGATTTTGGATAAGGAATTTAAAAGCGTGAAAGAAGTAGTTTGTACAACAGGGAAGTTTGATAATGGATTTAAAAAGGTGAAAAAATTAGTTTGTAGAACAGGGCAGTTTGTAGCTGTGGTAGAAGGGTTATTTTTGTAACTTCAATGGTTAGTTAACAAATCCCTTTAACTTACTTCAATTTTTTCCCAAATTTCTTTAGATTACAATTTTTCTTATCAAATCCCTACAAACCCAATTCCTTTTTTAAATTCCATTGCTTCAAACAAAACAAGTCCCTTTGAAATCCAATTTCCATAAAATCTTGGGATTCCAAACACTGCGTGAAGATACTAATTTCTACAATCCCAAAATTCAAAGGTTAGTTAACATTTCCTTCAAATTCTTTCAATTTTTTCCCAAATTTCTTTACATTACAATTTTTCTTATCAAATCCCTACAAACCCCAATTCCTTTTTTAAATCTTCCAAACAAAACAAGTCCCTTATGAAATTCAATTCTCATAAAATCTTGGGATTCCAAATACAACATGAGTATACTAATTTTTTTACAATTTCAAATTTAATCTGCCAATTCGATACAACCAAACATGGCATAAATGGTCATTCTATTGGTTGGCTATTCCATCTTATTCTAGATCTGTTGCATGGGGGCAGTTGCATGGCTGCCAATGATGTTATGGTGCAAGATTGGGGATTTCTGATCCGTACAGGGAATGAGTTCATCTTTTTTCTTGATCCTTGGTATAATGATAAGACCTTATTGCAGAGGTTTGTTTTGTCTGAGGGGTGTATGGCAGTTTCATTTGCCCAGGGATGCAAAGCTTAGTTCACTTCTATGGAATGGGGATGTGGAATTTGAGTTTCAATGTTTTTTTTTAGGGAAAAAATCACGTAACTCCCTTCTATTTTCATTTTGGATCAAATTGTCCCCACAAAAATTAAACACACCCTTCAATTATAAATCGTCATCACATTGTCCTACTTCCATTCAAACCCGTTAACCTAGGGTTTGGGTAGCAGCGCGTGACCAACATGCGCTTATCAATTTTTTTTCTTTCTAAAATACCCCTTCCCTAGACTCTGTGTTATATTATATATAAGCGTGTGTTGTATACTGTATATATATAAGCGTGTGTTGTGTACAAAGCTTTGAAGCCCTAAAAGGAAAGGGAAGGGGGAGGCCGCGTTTTGCTGAAGTGCAATCGTCTTCGAATCCGAAATCACTCTGTCACAAACTCCTCTCCACGCCCAATCGTCTCCGAATCCCAAATCACTCGTCAAAAACTCCTCTCCACGGCCCAATCGCTGCTAGAATCCAGACCCTTCGCTGGAGAATTTTGTCAGATTCCCGGGTCAGAGCTTGGTCGCCGGAGAATTTGTTTATGAAGGTTCCACCACCGTCTCTTTCCCTTGCTTATTTGTCGCCGTTGTTCCCTGCGTTTTGCTTATTTGTCATCGTTGTTCCTTGCGTTTTGGTGTTGTGGAAGAAACAGAGGTGGCGTCGAAGTTCAGTACGATCACCTCCGGCGAAGGGTTCTCTTGTGGGATAGTGACGAACAACCATGTGCTGGGGTGGTAGTTAAATTGGAGCTGAGATTCAAAGCCAATTTGGGAATTTCACAATGTTGAGTTTGGTTGCTGATGAGTCTCATCTTGTGGTGTGACAAAGTCTGGGACTTTGATCTGTAAAGGAAGGAAGATGCATCTGCACAATTTTAAAATTTAACCAAAAAAACAAAAATTAGATTTATAATCTGAGACCAAAACAACGTCAGAGAACAGACCCAGTAAATAAAATTATATAATTCTTTCACTTTCTTTAATTTTCTTAGAAACCAACCAAAGGAATAAGGAAAATTCTTTAACCATAAAATAAAAAAAAAAAAAAAAAATGAAAACATAAAATTTCAGACATTAATCAAAAGGGAACATCAAAATTGAAGAGGGATAACCATACTTGTTGTACGGCCTTGTGCTGTGGTGGAAGGTGACGTGTAAAGCCCCTGTATGGAGTTGTTGGTTTTAGATTGCCCAGATTACAGAAATGTCTGTATATATGAGTAGAAATATATATATATATACGCACAGACACATATATACACAAACTTACAAATATTGCATTGAGATGTAAGGATTGATTATCCAGTTTTTTTCATGCTAAGGATCAGCAATGATCCATTGGCTAATACAACGGAAGCCTAAAGTGATTTCTCTTTTAGCTCCTCCGGCGAGGGTTCCTGGTGTGCTTCAACGAAAAATCACAGAGCACCCAATTGTAAAAATAACAATTATTTCGTATTTAAATTTCAGATTATATTGTAGTTGTTATTTTGTGGTGTGTTGGTGGGAGACAAAGGGTTGAAAAGGGTGGGTTGCTATAAGACCCCATTTTGTTGCCTCCAAATAAAACATTTCTTTTGTATTTAAATTTCATATAATATTATGAGGGTATAGTTGTCATTTCACGACAGGTTAATTGGTTTAAAAGGAAATGGGGGTATAATTGTCATTTCACGACAGGTTAACTGGTTTAAACGGAAATGGGCCAATGTGACGACGGTTTATAGTTAAAGGTGGTGTTTAATTTTAGTGGGGGCAATTTAATCAAAAATAATAAGAAGGGGGTTATGCCAAAGACCGGATTTTGAGGCTCCACGTTAAGGGGCTATTCTCTTTCAAGAGGGCTTGGGATGGCCGCAGACAGAAATTTCTCAAGGTGCCAGGAGGAGTGTGTGTTGGAACAAGGGTAGGCCGGCCACGCACAAATTGTCGTATAGCCAAAACAGGCTTTTAAGTTGAAATATGTACTGATTCTGAGTCTCCTTCAAAAAAACATTCATGGTTAGAGAACAGTAGGATGTTTTCTAACTATTGGGCCACAAGACAATTGATTCCCAACTTTATTGTGAATTCTGTTTCATGGTAATAAAACGTGCTCTGTTAATTTCAATATTTACTTCGTGTTAGTCAAACCAGTTCCAATAAGGAGGGCATGCATCATACAAAACTTGAACACAAGCCACAATAAAAAGTAAATAGTAGGACAGGTTATTAATGTAAATTAAATAGATTTCGAGATTGAAGTTAAAGTTACAAAACAATGAACAAACACCCAATCCAAGTAACTAGAAATGTACTGTTGGTCAAGGTGGGAGTAATGTCTCAATGTATGGATGGACGCTACAGCTTTCAGGCTGCATAAGCTCCTGGGAAGAAGAACCAGGATGATGTACTACATCATGAAGCTTCTTAAAGGTGTCATCCTTAATGTTGTAGGAGATGATCATATTGGTGCCCACAAATAACACCAAAAACACATCTGCTTCATCTTTTCCATGAATTAAACCAAGCACAGACATTGTTCGCGGTACGATCATCTTCTGTGATACAAAATTAAGCATCATGTTAAAGTTAAGTTGATAGTTCAATGACCACTTGGAGTAATCGCTTTCCATCTCCCAGACTTTAATATCAAATATGGTACCATAAACACTTCGCCCAGTAAGATGCAAATGACCTCTAGACTCCCCGAAATGCCGTAATCCATTAAAAACCATTTCTGGTGAAGATGGCATTGGAAACACTCTTTCTTGATCAACATCAAAGTATTTGGAAGGTTTATCTGGCCAGAAGGAAATCCAATGTATTGAACCATTGCAATAGACTCCATTACCCAAGTCCACTCCGCTTGAGGAGAAAGAATGATGATCACCTGAGGGTCTCCGCCATGCATTGGTTTGTGACGAATAGACATGAATTTGATACAAAAAATCGACCTTCACCTCGTGTAATCTCTTGAGCAAAACAACTTTGTAATGAATTGATTTGGAAGGATCAAAAGCCAAATATAGAGGGTCAGGAGGATATCTAGCAAGGGAAAAGGGCCAGGGAAGCGTCCGGGATTGCTTGGTAGTAGGATTGAAAACTTGGTAGGATCGGGAAAAATAGTTTGGTTCTAAACACAAGAGTAGAAAACCATTGCAGGAGTCTATGATTGTAATATCCACAGTATACATATTGGGAAAGCGAGCTAAAGACTTGTTTTTTCCACCATCATCTGTGCCTTTGAGAGGAATGTATTTGATTTGATTTCGGGATTTACAGGTGAAGAAAAGACCGGAGATTTTGGGATCATGGGATTGTCGTTGCCGCTGTTGCCAGAGGAGAGGGAAAGTAGGACTGGAGATTAGAGAGAACCATGTTTTCGAGACGGACTTGAATCGAACCACAGATTTCAGCGGCAGAAGCACAAGGATCTCCACCACCAGGTCGTCGTTACTGCCAATGATTTCAGCAGCGGCAGAGGATATTTGGGCCGACGACCGGCTCTGTGCATTCTGGAACCTTTTAACCCTAGAACCCATTAACGAAGTTGAATTCACTTCAGAGGATGGTTCTAATTAAACACTTACATAGACAAAATAACAAATCGTGTGTTATCCTAATACAACACTGACAACCTAAAAATAAAAATAAATTTATTTAACTTTTAAACACAATAAATAATTATTTGTGTTTGAATAAGTAAGATTAAATTTAGCCTGTTAGAATAGCGGTTGATGATGCAAACCTCATCAAACAGAGAGGTGAACGGCCTAGACGATCGGAAGCAGATCTGATCACACCACAAGGGAAACGGCGAGGCAGGTAGAAAACTGTCGTCTTTGCTCGCGTCTGTGGAGAAACAGAGACAAAGATGGCGATTCTGATCGGAATAGACAATCGGTAAGTATAAAAAACCCGCACCGGCAGATCTGATCAGAACACGTTGCGAGACTGGTAGAAACTTGTGACCTTTGCTCAAGTCTGTGGAGAAACAGAGAGAACGCCAGTGAAGCTGATCGGAATAAACAATCGGTAAGCATAAAAAATGGGCACCGGCAGATCTGTTCAGAACAGCAAACGGCGAGAAAGGTAGAAAGTTGTCGTCCTTGCTTGTGTTTGTGGAGAAACAGAGAGAACGCCGGCGAAGCTGATCGGAACAGTCTATACAGCAACCGGCAGATCTGAGCAGAACAGAAGAGCGTGGCGGTCGGTGGTGGCTGAGATATTGTCAAAAGATTAAAATTTGAAAACCTATATGAATTGGTAATTATGATTTATGACCCCTTTCCTACACTTCGTTTGGAATAAGAGTATATTTTACAATAAAATAAATATTTTATTTATTATTTAAATATGAACAAAAATAATATTATATTATTTTTATTCAAAATTTCATTTTAAATCTAATTTATCCCAAACAAATAAATAGAATTTTATTTTAATTTTAATTTCTATTTCAATTTTGATTCTTTTTCAAATCCTAAAATAATTTATTCCGAGTTACTTTAGATTTAGATTAGATGGTTGGTTTGGCGAGTACAAAACCAAACAATAGCTTTCGTCCGTCGGTCACATACCACTGGATGTCTCAAATTAAGTAGGCAAAATTATGAAGAAAATTCCGACTTATTTTAAAATTATAGTAAACCTCTTTGGATTATTGCTTATTACATATCAAACCCTAGATTATCAGAAAGTTACAATGTGACCCATTGGGTGACCGGCGTCAATTTGTGGTTATCAGATGGTCAAAATTACTTATTTATCCTCACCAATTTGTTTATTAAAAAAATTATAAGATATCATAATTGTAAAATACCAATAATGCACTTTGCAAGTGCATCTTGCAATTAACCTATAATTTATTATTATTATTATTTTTTTCACTTTTACCTAAAAAATTATTATTATTATTATTATTATTTTAATATATATAAGAATAGTAGTAATAGTAATAACAGGTCAAGTGTAAAAAACACTTTAAAGTATGCTTATAGTGTATATTGCACTCTTTCAGTGCAAAAAATATCCTAAACTATGACATTTGTGCAAATAGGTCCTCCTTACACAAAATTGGACTAAAAGGCCCTTAGTGACACAATTTATAAAATATATAAAAATAATAATACGATGTGAAAGGACTAAAAAGGTACCCAAAATCCATCTTCTTCAACTCTAATACAATGAGGAGAAAAAAAAAATCCCAAGAATATCCCCTGGCACATCAAAACCCACCGGCGAAGCTTCACCATCATCCACGTACAAAGCACTGTAAGAATAAGAATCATCCTCTTCGCTGCTCTCTGCTTCCGCCACTGCCTTTTGTCATGCTGCTATTCTCTGTCACCGCCAATGCCATCTACCACGCCACTGTTCTCCGCCATCGCCGCCGCCCTTTATCACGTCGTCGTTCTCTGTTTTCTCTACATCGTCAACACCACCAAGGTCCACATATGTCGCTGCCCTCTGCAGCTGCTCTCTGCCGTCCACCATAGATCTCTGGAGCCATCGCCCGTGCCAGATCCATCACCGCTGTTGCTAGTACCTTCGGCGGCGCCAGAACTCGCCGCCGTTGTTTCACCATCTTCCTTGCAGTCGTTGATCTCCATCATGCTTGCTGTCATTGCCCGTCAAAAATTGTTAATGAACTCACCGAGAAGAGGTTCCTAGCATGATTGATTGGAGATATAGAGAGTCATCGCCATTGAAACGCAACCGATTCTTGTGACAGTCGACTTCCTCGTTGATTTATGATGGTAGGTTTCGTCTGTGTGCAGAGACTTTTCCGTTGGTTTGTGTTGGCTGGAAACCTCTGTTATTATTCAAATTTTTTTTTTTTTTTTTAATGTTCTACAACAACCATTACAATGGACTCATCACCGGTGGAAGACCTTGTAGTGCTGCCTTGCCCCATCCTTTCTTAAGCTTCGTTGAAGATCGGCGAAAGCTTGGTAGGTTCTTGCCACGCCGTCTAGTTACCTTCAGTCCAGCTACAGTCGCCATCACATAAGCTTAGTCTATGAAGAAAGGTGTAGGAGAAAAAGGGCGCTTGGTTATAGGTATTTTCTTATCCTAAACCAGTTTTAGATTGAACTAGTTAAAGGTTTGGTATGGGTATTTTTGAAAAAGTAAAAGGGTAAATGGGTATTACAGTACTAATTATGTCATATTCCTGATATAGAAAAAGTGCCAAAAATAAAAATAAAAAAATAAAATAACAATCCCAAAACTCTTGTATTGTTAGGCAAAATTACAAAAAGTCCATCTAAACTATTGATTAGTTGCAAGATGCCCCCTGAAGGGTATTACTGGTATTTTGCAATTCTATATTTTATAACTTTTATAATAAATTAATAAGTGGGGGTAATAATTAATTTTGACCCTCTGGATGTCGAAAATTGACGTCTGGTCACCGGGAGGGGATCATATTACAACTTTCGATAGTTTAGGGTGTTATATTCAACAAACATAGTTTATGGTATGATATGCAACGTACAAGGAATAGTCCAGGAAAGTTTACTGCAATTTTAAAATAATTCAGGGGAGTTTTTATCACTTTTGCCTAATAGTTATCTCATTTGAAAAGTCAAACTTTTACATTGTTACCCTCTATTTTTTTTATTTTTTATTTACTTATAACATATTTATTTTAATTTAAAAGGATAAATTGATAATTTTAAAAATAATAGTCCCAAAACTCTTGCCCTTCTTTTTATATTTTGGGATTTTCCAAAATACATTTCTCATTCAAAAAATAGATATACTATTTTTATAACATTCTCAAATTATCCTTTCGACATTGATTTGTTTAAACAAGTGTCCCTTATATTATATGTGACTTAAGATATGTCCCTTATAACAAGTGTCGTGATATCTAAGTAGATGGATTGCTACTCGAGGAGCTCGTGATTAAGCCTTACACCCTCTTCATCCTCTCTAACCCCTACCCCTAACCCTTAACATTCTTGCCATGATTATATATATATAATCACACACACACACACACACACACACACACATATATAAATTGTAACAACCCGAACACGAGGGTTCGAATCGTTACGCAGGTCCTTACTCGAACTCGAGGTCAACTACGGGCAATACTATTATTTATTACTAAAGGTGGATGATAAGTTCAATGGGGGTTCTTTGTGATCGTTTTAATAAACTAAACTCATTCTACAAGTTTTTAATGCCGATAGTGATGGTTTCCCACAATTTCTCGTTCTCGGTTTGAAGGATTTTCGACACTACTTCACTAAAATAGCTATAACTCTTAGTGTGACTATAATTTGAGTATTAGGCAGATATCATTGGAAAGCTGACAAAAAATGTTTCAATTTGGGCTCAAGAATGACCCAATTTAGAATTGAAACGAAGGAGATGTGGTTATTTGAAGTTAGCCCTGAAAAATAGAGGTTGCAAATTAGGGGAATATATGCGCCTAGGCACATTATAATTCCACCTAAGTGTATTTTAGACCAGAATAGGGTGTAAAACAGCGGCCAATGCGCTACATTGGGATGCGCTTAGTTTCAATTGGTGGTGTGCCTAAGCATATTTCAGCCTATAAATAAGTAGAAATCTTTTGTGATGGAATTTACCCCCTTGGTCCCTAATTGAACATTTGATCATGAAAAACCCGTTCCAAAACATCCATTTACATATAAACATTTATAAAATAGCATCCAAACATCATGATACACACAATACACCATTCTTACATCAAAATGGATTCATTAACATTGGTTATGAATCAAAATGAGTTATTTTACATCATTGGTTGGCTTAAAAGCCCCTAAAATATGAATCACAAATCGGAATGAGGCATCAAAAGAACAGAGGCCAATGCGTGCCTAGGCGTAATTAGTGGTGCGACTAAGCACATTTTAGCCCATAAATGAGTAAAAAATATTTTGTGATAGAATCTACCCCTTTGGTCCATAATTAAACATTTGATCATGAAAAACCCATTCCAAAACATCCATTTACATATAAACATTTATAACATAGAATCCAAACATCATGATACACATAATACACCACTCTTACATCAAAATGGATTCGTCAACTTTGGTCATGAATCTAAATGAGTTATTTTACATCATCGGTTGACTTAGAAGCCTACAAATATGAATCACAAGTTGGAATGAGGCATCAAATGAAGAGTACATGGCCTCTAGATGTGATTTCATCAGAATTACAAAAGTTATCAACATTCGAACTTGGTGTCGTCCGCTCGGTGCGACCAAATTTGTGTGCAAGTGAGTGTGGCTAAGTTTTACATTTATAATTTGCCACTATTACCTTTCACTAAAAATATAGTTAAGGCAAGTAGGGATCGTCCCAAGGGATTGTGAGGGTCGCAAAAGGTTGTGGAATCGAAATTAGGGTTAGTAGGTCGAGTGATCAAAGGATTGTTGGTGGTTGAATTAAGCTAAGATGCTATTTAAACTAAACAATAATGCAATAAAGGTAAAATAACATACTATTTGTGCATCATTTAGATATATACCATCTAGTTGCATACCATGTCCAGGATTCTTTCTTGATCTTGTCTATCATAACATGCTTTGGATTGTAGTGTTTTGCAACCGTGCATTCCACTTACTCTTTATTACATGAAATGTAAGCTTCTTGTATCCTAGGTTGATATTTGTCATGATTATATGCTCCATGTTATCCTGCTTACTTCATATGATCTTCACTGTTGCACTTGTAGACATTCTTGCTAGGAATTAATATGATGTCATCTTAGAGTATACTTGTCATGTCGTTGTAGCATCTACTTAAGTTTTAGGTTTGTGAATGCACGATCCATCATTTATGCGCATCACAGCCTATACTTGTCATGTTGATCATATTTTTGCTTAAAATATTCCATATGTGACTTTTCTGCCCTCTATGCCATCACTGCTTATTTGACATTACTTATTATGCTTTGATCTATCCTGTTTAGTCGAAACATGTTGAATGCTAATTCTAAAACCTTCTTAATCATTTCTTGCATAAGCATGATCCTACTTGTTTATTCTCTATTTCTACTTGATTCAAGTATGCTTTGTGTTTTCTTATCAGTTGATTACCTTATCCTATACCTGTGCACTGATTTATACTTATTGCTTTTACAGATGTAGCGTAAACGAAAGACTTTAGCTAAAAAAAAAAATACAGAGAGCTCTTTCATCTCCAGTGGCAGAGTTTTCTTCTTCATCCTCTTCATCTTCTGTATCAGTCTAGTCTGAGCCATCTTCTGTATCAGTCTAGTCTGAGCCATCTTCTA